TCTAAGTGCTAGCAATTTCACTTAGAAGCTTAGTAAGAAGCACTTGGGGTGCATTCTACTTCTCAATCTCATGTGAGGCCCATGAAAAACGTTGAACAGGAATGCAAAAGCCTGAGGCCGTGGTCATGTTGCTGTTCCCTTCTTGGAACTGACAACTAGAAGTGTTCGCGGATAAGTCCAGCTGACTCTCTAAGAAGAATTGACCTCAACAGGCTGGTAGTCACATCTAACTGTGGCCATGGCTAAGAAGGCAACCAATTCACATCAATGATGGTATAAAATACTATAATCATACTGTGTGGCTCACGCCTATAATCCTAGCCACTCAAGAGGCTGAGGTCTGAGGATCCCAGTTCACAGACAGCCCAGGTAGGGGCTGGGAAGGTGGCTCAGTGGTAGAGCGCATGCCTTGCATGCCAGAGGTCCTCGGTTCGATTCCTCAGCACCACATAAGCAAAAAGAAAAAAGCCGGAAGTGACGCTTGTGGCTCAAGTGGTAGAGCGCTAGCCTTGAGCTGAAGAGCTGAGGGACAGCGCCCAGGCCCAGAGTTCAAGCCCCACGACCGGACCCAAAAAAAAAAAAACCAAACACAGACAGCCCAGGCAGGAAAGTCCATGAGACTCTTACCTGCAGTTAACCTCTGAGAAAGCTGAATGTAGAGCCATGACTCAAGTGGTAGAGTGCCAGTCTGGAGCCCCACCCCCCAAAAAACTAAGGGACAGTACTAAGTCCCAGAGTTCAAGTCAGCACAATAATACTAGTAGTAATAGTAGTAGTAGTAGCAGCAGCAGCAGCAGTTGTAGTAGTAGTAGTAGTAGTAGTAGCAGCAGCAGTAGTAGTAATGGTAATGATGATGGAATCTTGCTATGATAGAGTACATATTTAAAGTACAGTCTAGAGATAGGATTTTCCTGGCATGGTATTTTTTTCTCTTTGCATAGAGTATACAGAAGTTAGGCCTTTCAGAAACTGCTAAACAAATCGACTCAAGAATCTTTCGGATAGTGTGGCAAAAATCAAGAGTGAGCTGAGGAAAGAGTGTGTATGCACAGATGATGCACCCGTGAGGCCACGCGGTGCCACGCGTGGCTCCCTGCTCCCCCGTGTGTGGCAACGGCCTGAGAAGCCAGAGTCTGTGTGTCTCGGATTCACCCTGGAACGAACCCTAGGTCGTGAGCCGTAGCACGGGTTTTGCAGTTCAGCCCAGTTGGTTTCCATTCTTGTTCCCTGTGTTTGTTCCTGACTCTGGGTAACTCAGTGCTTCGGTTCTGTTTCTGGGAAATGAACACAAGTGAGACTGTATCCTACATTGTATAATTTTAAGATTAACCAGTAATATTACATGGAAAGCATGCAGCGCTGGACCCTGGCAAGGGCTGCTCACTAAGGGTTGGTCAATAAAAGATGATAACCTTCATTACGGGGAAAGGTTACGTTTACAGAACTCTCCAGAAAGTCATGTTCATTTCACTGCCTTGAAAGGTCATCAAACAGCTACTCATATCGTGAAGGTCTTTAGAAACATTATACTTTCTTGTTTTGCATATTATTGAAAGTGAATGGTTAATAATTCCTGGAAGAAACCCGAGGGGTCCTTCCTGTGTTGCTGTTGTGCATTTACTAAACCATAGATATATTGTACCACCCACAGGACACTCGCTTAGCTTTCCCTCTCTTCTCTGTGCTGGGTACCATTGCCAGGGACTTCTATTACCATCTCTGATAGTTTGACTCAGTCTTCACCTCTGTGTAATTCCTGTGAGCATAAATGCAAATACGAATCAAAATGTAAACTAAAGTATTTCATAAATAAGAGTCTACTGGGCTGCCCATGATTACTAAACCAGAATTTCTTCCAAAATTAACTTATAATTTGTTTCCTGAGCTCATTTGTTTCCTTCCCACGAATAAAAATGATACTTATTCCAAATCTATTAGCTTCCCATTTTTTCTTCCCTATTTATTTTGATGAAATTCAGGACATTTTAATTAGAGCATTTCCCAAGTTGTATGCATTATCAGATAGCCAAACACTGCCTTCCATCCACACCTAATTCCAACTTCCTGATGCTGATTATTCCTTCTTAACTACATGCTGTCTAAGAACTAGCCTTTGTAACTTAGCATGAGAATAAGTAACTCCTTTCCTCAGGCTGAGTGGCTGAATATGCCAGAATCTAGCTGGCAAAAAGTACAGGATAATGGTCCCTATTCTAGTAGTCTGATACTTTGGCATCACTAAGATTCTCTAGGGAAAATGGTATGTTTCAATGCCCCAAATCCAATGTTAGGTGGATGTTTCTGAAAGTATTTTGCCTTGGTAATAGACAGCTTGAAAACCTTTTCACCTTGAAGGGCATGGTTTACAATATAAAAGTTAGGGGCTGGGGGTTTAGCCCAGCGGAAGGGTGCCCGCCCAGCGCACGCAAGGCCCTGGGTTTGGTCCTCAGCCCTGGGAAAAAAATATATATATATAAAAGTTATAACTGGGTTATTTTAAATTACTAGGTTGATTTATTAGGCATATATGTTTAATCTATACGCTTTTTTGCTGTCCTGCTGTTCTCTCATTGCAAAAATAAGAATATGTGTTTTCTTTTGGAAAGATTCTGCCATACCATAAATATGTAGCAGGAATTTCTTTCCAAGTTAAATTGTGTGTGTGTGTGTGTGTGTGTGTGTGTGTGTGTGTGTGTGTGTGTGTGAGAAAGAGAGAGAGAGAGAGAGAGAGAGATTGTTTTTGCCCTTTACCCAAGTAATGTAGTAGGGAAGAGAATGGATATAGATATCACATCTTAGTCAAATGCAGCATCTAATGCTGAAACCACCATTCAGAATTATCCTGGCTCATTTCCTTTACATGGAGTGTACAGGACAATCGTTTGAATTCAAGCTTAGTCTGCAAAGGGTCAAATCATGCCATTTGTTTCCTTCCTTATGGTAACCATCACCTACTTTTGTCCCTTCCTTGAGAGCTGCATGCCTTATAAGCTTCTAAAGTTAAGTCTTAATAAATGTTATATTCCAGCAAAATGAAACGTCTGTTTTGAGCTTCTTGAATGTTAAGTTCTTTTGCTGATGAAATCTTAAAAATTAGTCTGGATCCAAGTCTTAAGCCCTTTGCAAAATTTTTAAAAATGCTCATTCTCACTTTCCATTCATGTTTTGGCATGAGAGCATGACAAACTATTAGAAACATATAGTGCTTTTCTTTTCCCTGTGTTCTTCATATCCAAACCACAAAATAAGGGTAGCAGCTCTTACTTTACCAGAATATTGTGCTTTCTATCCCTTCTTAATAACTTATCATTCACCAGCACTAGGGTTAAGTAACCAGCATCCCTTTAAGTGATTCGATCAGTTCAGTGAAAAGGATATGAATATTCACACTTTACATGAGGAAATTTTTTTTAAATGGAAGTCATCTGTTCTGGCCACAGAGTTCTCTCTCTCTCTCTCTCTCTCTCTCTCTCTCTCTCTCTCTCTCTCTCTCTCTCTCTCTCTGTCTCTGTCTCTCTCTCTCTCTCTCTCTTTCTCTTTCTCTAGGAGGCCATCCTCGTGTGGATACTGCAACTTCACCCTCTCATCCTAGATTTAATGAGAAGAAAACTGTAGTATGAAATGAAGCAATGCATAGACTTCACCATTATAGATCAGCTGCAAGTAAAATAATTTTTTTTTCTGTATTAGTGACTTACACCTGTAATCCCAGCTACTCAGAAGGTGGAGATAGGATTGTGGTTGGAGAGTTCTCAACCTTCTCTTAAAACAATAAACTAAGGCAAAAGGGCTAAGGTGTGGCTCAAATGCAGAGCATGTGCCTAATAATAACCACAAGGCTCTGAGTCTAATACGCATTATTGGGGGGGAAGAGTTAAAATGGTAATTTTGTCCTCTTTCCTCTGAAATGTTGTGCTCCATCCGATAAATAGTTCTGGAATGAAGGTGGGCCAGTCAGGCACAGGTGGCTCACATCTATAATCCTACCTATTCAGGATGGTGAGATCTGAGGATTGTGGTTCAAAGCCAGCCGGGGCAGCAAAGTCCATTAGTCTGTGATCTCCAATGATCACCAACAAAATGAGAAGAGGACCTGGGACTCACGTGTTAGAGTGCCAGCCTTGAGCCCAGAAGATTAAAGACAGCACCCAGGCCCTGAATTGAAGGTGGTCAATGAGAAACAACAACAAAATAATAACTATATAGACTGTGTGGTAATTACTATCACAATTTTTATTAAGTAAAAGATTGTCTTGAGGAGCTTCATATGCATACAGTGGCGCAAATATCTTCTAGCTACATCTATTCTTTAAGAGAGAAGTAGTGTATATGTGTATTGAGATTTATAAGGTGTATCCCGGATACCTTGTGCTCTTTAATGCTAATGAATCACTGGAACTAGAGATAAAGGAATTTAGTATCACAACCACTTAGAACAAACCAAGGATAATCTCTGTGCACAACTTGGGAACAACTTTGAGATATGTCCCTTAAACAGCATTCAAGATGAGGGCTTGGTTTCCATGGACATTTTTCCATATCCTACCTATACTTGTGCAGAAGGTGAAATAAACCTTGCTAGTTGGGCTGGTAAGTCGCATGTTTATTGCCTAGCTGTATGACTAAACAGGAGCCCTTCCATTCTGTCTGTGGCTTCCTGTCAGTTTCCAAGGACGATACAAACTTTTACACAAAGGCCACAGTTGAGGAAACTGGAAATCCTCACCCTTAAAAGAAAAGAAAATACCAACAACTTCCAATATATGATTTCTTCAAGGTAGAGGTTTACATTTTCTATTCTCCCAAAGACGAATGTCACTTGTCCACGTTGAGAACAAGAGCAGCATTTGGCATTTGGTTATCCCAAACCCAAATCTCTGACCCTTTGTTTTTAGTACTTTGCCATTTTGATTTTGCTTTTTGATTTGCTTGTGACTCTCTGCTTCCCCCATCTTTTTTCTTTTTTTTGGTACAATGATTCTTACCTTGTCTTTCCCCAGTCCGTTTCTGACCTGGAGAGACGTACAGCATGTTATTGTCAGGACTTCCCGTGCGGGACATTTGAACGCTAATGACTGGAAAACCAATGCTGCTGGTTTTAAGGGTGAGAACTTCTTTCCTATTCTGTCACAGGCAAAAGATTTTTTTTTATTTTTCCTCCCATTTCAAATGGAGAACAGGAAACACAAACTCTCAAATGCAACATGCAAGTTTGTCCTCACACATGAGCTGTCCATGAAACTAAAGGCAGATGGATACTTTTTCGAAATTAAAAGAGCATATATCAAGGCAGATTTCTTTGGCTTCCCACAAAATCAGATCAATTTTTTTAAAAAGAAAAAAAGATAAACCAAGCTGTAAGTAGAGTCAGCTGATAGGGACCCTTTAATTCATTAATTAGTTTGTTGTTATTGCTTATCTGAGTGGTGTTTATAAGCATGTATTTTAGAATTCCTCACCTTCTATAGTGATAATTTCTACTGATGTGTTTCCATATGTAGGTATAGATGTATAATATTGTTCAGTCAAGTGTAGCACTAGCAGGGTATGCATTCTATAAATTTTGGTTCTAAAGTTACACAGAGGGATAGCTCCCAGAAGTGTTACTGTGTGCAAACCAAAAGTTTTTGTAAGTTTTGTAATGTGAGTCTTTATGGCATTATACGCAACACGGAACACATGCTGAATATTTTTCCCAGGGCTGATATGGATTCTGTATCTCTCCAGCGGTGTTATTAACAGTAGCCGTTACGCTTATTGCCATAGATGATCTATGTTGTAATAAAAAGAAAGTAATTATGCAAAGCTGTTATTTATATAGAGCATTCCAAAGATTACATGTTTTACTCAAATTACACATAACCTAGATTTTAATCTATTAAGTGATAACAAAGACTCTGTTTTATTATGCTTATACTATATACTTATACTTACAGGTGGTTTTATTTCCATATGGGTAAAATAACACTGTCCTGTGGCATCAAGAATATCTACTCATAAATTGAGACTCTGATAGTCAGAACATCAGTAACAAGTTAAATAATCCCGAAAATTTAATTTAGGGGCCCTTGTTACCCCAGTGTAAACATTTTAGGGGCCTAAAAACATTTAAGTATTTATAATATCATACATTTAATCTTAATATAGCCTTTGGAAGTTATATGTAAGTATTATTCCACTGTGTGTATGTAATATATGTGTATGTAATATATGTGCTTCTTTGTATGTGTGTATGTATATGTATACATATACATATATATTTGATGGTACTAGGGTTTGAACTCAGTGCTGTGTTTGCTAAGCAGGTACTCTACTACTTGAGCCATGCCCCCAGCCCAAGAATATATACTCAAAGTTTATTTGCAAATAGCTTGTCATACACTCTTGCTTACCAGAACTTATAAATATCTCAGACAACCATCACCACATAATAATTATTGGATTTATGTTTTTCACTGAAGACCTCACTTGGTTCTTTAGATGAACAGTATCCCTCTGCTTTACAGAATTATCATATGCCTTTTCTATACTGAAAACCTGAACTAAAGTTTTAAATACCTATTAGAATCCCTAATCCTAAATTCAGACAGTCCCCACATTGCAATTGTATGGGCTGTATCAAATTATTTAAAATATCAGCTCCTCAAAAAAATATCCAGACTATGTCCCATATGTGTATTTTGTTTCAGTTAGCTTCCAATTCCAGCAAAACTCCTACAATATAAATCCACAACACTCTGGGGACTGCAAGGGCTGACCATTTAACCTTGGCTTGTTCAAGGCTGGGTTAAACTTCTTAGTGGAAGGTTCATAGACTAAGTACATTGACCTCCATGAAGCTGATGAATCAGCTTTAACCCAAATAAAAGTCTTAGTTTTACTTATTCCTTTTTGGCAACTTAAAAAGAGCAAATGGTTCTAATAAAACATTCAGCTCTTTGGGAAAAAAAAAAAACAACTCTGTTGGTTTTGGAGAGAGGGGAATCAAGAGGATTTAGACGAAATCACCAGACTCAAGCCGAAATCTGAAGGGGGTTGTGCACTGCTTCTGGAGGAAATCGTATTTTACTATTGCACGTGGCAATATTTAGTATAATATTTCACTCTTCTCTTAGATGGCTGCCAAGAGTAACAATTAAAGTTCACTTTTTCACAGATGAGTTACTCTGAATGGTCTGCACTCCCAGTGGAATTGTTTTGTAATTTTGTTGATGGCAAGCCCTATATTTCATCCAAACATAATCATCATAAGATGGATATTTTTTTTAAAAAGTTCTTTTTTTTTCCCCCTACTCGAAACATTACCATCACTTCCCAAGTGTCCCACAAATAAAAGTGATTGCTGTAGAACCTTGCAGGAGAATGCATGTGCTTCGGGAAAACAAAATACAGGTCATCAGCACTAGGGGAAAAAAATGAAATAAAATAAAAACAAAAAGAGCTCGTGTTTTAGAGATGGTTCATGCAACAAGAGCTCAGGAAGAACTTGTCCCTTTGCTTAGATGGCTTTTGCAGGCCTTGCAGCGGGAATCCACGGTGCACTTGCTTTTAGAAGAAAATGGAAGTTGCCTGCCAATGGAAACCTATGGCAAGCATCATACTCACTGTGTGTCACCAGCTCATTAATACTGAGTGAAATGCATGCACGAAATGAATTCAGAAACACCTGTGCTGCCTAGGCTTGCTTTTGTATTCTGTAGTTGAACGATGGGCTTAAAGAGCGGTGAGTTTTGTGGGGTTTTTAATGAGATAAATTTCACAAATTGCTTGATAGCTAGCTCTTCAGGATAGGGGCATTGTGTGTGTCCGAATTTCTTGCTCATTAGGGAAACAGAAACTTCTCCAGAGTCGCAATCTATTCTGCTTAGGGGTTGGATATCAATAGACTTACTAGTTGTTTTAAAAACCAACACCTTGAGGGAATAGCAGTCCTTTCCTACATTTCTTTAGGCATACCCGTGCCATATACCTCCTAGACAGATAGCAGAGCTAGATGAGATATGAAGTAGATAATTTGAAGTTTTTTAGAAGCCAGACTTGATCCACCCTCAACCCAAGTTGTGTTATAGATCTGGAATATGAAGAGATTCCCTCCAATGACAGCAGTCCAATGGACAAGTTATTGTTCAGCCCAGGAGGTCGGTGCAGCACTAAAGCACGAGTCTCTGCCAGCGTATCTCTGTGTTTCCTTGAGTTGCACACCAGATGATTTTGCTACTCCATTCCCTTTATTCTCTGCAGATGACTGCCATAGAGAGATTAGCTCCTGGTAAAGAATGCCTTCATGAAGGAAGCTAAAGTCAACTTTCTTATAGTTTTTTTTTAATAATTTTAATTGAAAAATTAAGATTATTCTACTCTGCTGCTGTGTATAATAATAATAATTTCTTATTACACAATGAAAATATCTTCTACGGAGTAGTTTTTCAGATTTTAAACATTAGCCAAGAAATACACACTCATGGATTTACCTTGTTCATTTCATTTACCTTTTACATCTAGTGAATACAGTATTATAGATAAATATCAGGTGACATGTTTTGATTTCACACCTTCTCCAGAGACAGATCCCTTAAAAAATAATAATAAATGAAATAAATATACACCTAAGAAAGAATCTACTTGAAAGTGTGAAAGAGGGTACGACAATTATTTGTTTTAGACCCATAAGTAGATGTTAAGTTTTGCCACTGAAGAATTAAAATCCAAATTCCAGTATTTTGCTACTGACCAACATTTGCAATGCCAGGAGATGTATTTGGTGTTAAACTGTCTAGGATTTTAACAAGATTATTTATGTTCTCCCTTGACCCCTTCCCTTTCCTCTTTCTGAGAAGTGTTTTCAGTTGTGTTTGGTTTTGTCTTGTCTCTTCTTTTTCATTCTCCCTGTGTTCCTTCACATGGACCAAGCAGCCATAGAAGTGAGTGCTTTTGCCATCTGGGTAATTTTCTTCAGGGAGTTTAGGTTATTACTGTCTCAGTATGTATTAGTTGGTGAAGCACTTCCTGAGCCCACTACATGTTGAATGCACCCTGACTGTGGAAGCAGAGTTTGACCACGGCAGTGCCTGATCCAATCTTTTGTGGTGGACTGGCACACGAAAATAGAAAAATCATGTAAGTAGCATGCTGGGGCGCATGACTGGCACGTGGGAATGGCGCAGTGAAATGAACTATCATATGACAAACTCCGTGAAGGTGGTCACCTCGGACCCATTGCTTATCATAGCACGGCCCAGGCACACAGCCCAAGTGTAAGAGTGAATGAATGAATGAATGTAAATGACCTTAATGTAAATGTACACCAGCACATGTAGGAAAGAAGATGCACAAATTCTAAAAAGCACAGATGAACACTACCTTGACCAAATGCAAAAAAATCTTCTGTGGTGTAATATGCATGAAGAAAAGAAATTTACACACCGCTGTTTTTATGGTTCAGTCTCAACTCCCACAGTGCTTCGGGTCATATGAGACAGAAATGCTGATAATCTTCCTTTTCTAATATTTAACCCGATGTCAGCAGCAAAAGGCATCTCGGACAGAGAATACCTGTGCTGTCTGAGATGCATGTACTTTGACCCATATGCATTTTGACCTGATGTGTTTGGGCATACAGATATGCAGGCCAGGGAACCATCCTGAAGATATTAATCCAAGATTCCGTTATCGTCTGTGGCTTCCATTATTTCTGGGAGAAGTTAGCATTTCGCTTCCTCCCTTCCAGTGCTTTAATCTAAGGAAAGCCTCGCCCTTCTTCCCCAGCCCCAGTCTCCAGTTCCCAGGCTGTGCAGCCTGATTCCTCTCCCTGCACTCTGAGCTGAGGTTGGAGTGTGCAGCTGTGGTTATTAGAGGATATTGCTTGCTGCTGTTCTAGCTTTTGCTCACAGTATGTGTATTTGGTTCTTCTGTGACTGTATACAGTTAAACTCTCTTACATCTAGGAATAGGAATAGACGTCAGATAATAAATTAGGACCTTCTGTCATCTTTACTGCGCGAAAGAATGAAAAAAATGTCATTAAAATTAAGAAAACAAAAAGACAACTAAAGTGAGCGGATTTACCACATCTTCCATTTCCCTGTCCCCCAGGCTATGTGAGTCTCTTCTTTTTTCCCACATCATGTTGCTGACAGCTCCTCCAGCACTACTCACTCTGTCTTTCACCACAACGAAACTACTAGATTTTTTTTTAATTTTCAACTGTTTACCTACCGTACAAAACAGTGGACATAACGTCATTTCTTGGCCACAAAGGGCTCAGTCTTTCATAACAGTTATGGCTTCCACTTGCCATCTTTTTATTTCCACTGGTAGGGTTGGTAATATTAAAATGTTTCAATATAGTTTGAAATCCCTACCCATCTTTCTTTCCATTTGTAACATTTACTGAAAAGAATGTCAAGTGTCGGAACCATTAAGCATGCCATGTGTCCAGCTCTGTCACCTAGCATGTGAAGTCGCTGTTGGTCACTGTGATGATGGGTACCTCATGTTTGGTGCATAATGCTTTAATTGTTCATTAATTCACCCCTATTTTTTTTGAAGAATGGTTGAAGGGAAATAGTACTCATTTGCTCAGTGTCAGAGATGGGATTAAAATCAGATGCTTGATTCCAGTCCCAATGTATTTGCAAAACTAAGGCACTGGTTCCTTGGATAAAGATAAGGAGACATACTTACCTGGCAGAGGAGACACCAGGGTGGCGAAGGTGGTTTTTCCCAGGGCGAGGTTTATCCACTAGACTCTGGATATGCTGGCCCTTGCGATTTCCCCAAATGCGGGAAACTCGACTGCCTCATTTGTGGGAGTGGGGGACTGCGTTCTCCCCTGAAAAAATACCAAGCAATAGAGAAAGAGATTAATACACGACTCTCCCGGTAAAATTTGTTTATTGGAAATGCCACCTGATTTTTTTCTCAAGATGTTATGATTTCTACTATTGTGCTCTGTGAATTCATATTCAGCTTAGTGACTCAAATCTTTGCACTCTTTATATTTGTTGAACATTATCTATCTATCTCATTATATAGATATATATCATTACATATAGATAGATATATGAACTTCTAGCTCATTTACCAAAAAGAGAGATTTGAATCAGATTATAATTGAAGGATTTTACCTTTATTCTTTATGTAAGGAATCATTTATCTAAACATCTCTCTAGATCCCCTGATCGGAAACTGTTTAATTTTTGCATTATCTCCAAAGAGTTTAGCAATTCCATCTTGATGTTCAATTCATGCCCACTAATTATGGAATATTTAACATCATTGTTCACAATTGCTGATTTCTCCATCTGGTCTTGCACTTTAAAAAAAGAAGAAGAAGAAGAAGAAAGTAGTGTTAGATTTGTAAGATTCACATGGTCAGATCTGGGGTATGACTCAGTGGTAGGACCCTTGCCTAACTCATGCGAGTCTAGCCCACAGAATGCAAGGGAAGGGTTTCACACCTTACTGATGCATCTATACTAGATACAATGAGATAACTGGAGAGAATTATGGGAGTGGTTTTGTGGTTTTCTCACCAACTTAAGAACTCAGTGGCATTTCCTATGGCCTTTCGGAAAGCCAATTAAGGATTTGTATCTTGGAGTTGGCAGAACATAGATAGCTAATACCAAACATAATGAAAAGGCTGAGTTGAGTGAGAAGTGCTTTGAAAATGAAAAATACCAAACATAAAAAGAGCCTTAAAAACTGGTGCCTGTACTATATAGTTCTAGCTATTAATTTCAAAGCCAGCCTGGGCAGAAAAGTCAGTGAGGGAAAAGTGGGATTGAGGCATGGCTCGAGTAACAGAGTACCAGCGAAACAAATAAGCTGAGAGAGTTTAAGGCCCTGTGTTCAACCCCAGCACTAACAAAACGAAAAAATAAGAAGAGTCTTAACATTACATTTTCATTACATTTTAATACTACACTCTGAAGTAAGAATAGAAGTATAGAATTGCTGTGAATGAGAATGTTCTTTAGGGGTTGTAAATATATTCTATAGCCTTCAATGAGCTAGAAAAATATACAAAGGACTTTATAGTAAAATGGAAACTAATATGTCTTCAAACTTATCCCTCCTACAGTTGTATTAATGGTAATGCATCTATACTTAAATTTTGTTTTTAAATACTGCTTTGGATTCAACCTATATCTTCCAAGTTGCAATTAATGTCTATAGTCTAGAAAATAATGTCAGGAATCTGAAAGTATTTTGGCCTCCCAATATCCTGTGAACTCTTTTGTCATTAATCTACCATCCCTCAGGAATTTCTTTTTCTTTAGTGGTACTGGGATTTTTGAACTCATGACCTCACACATCCTTACAAGAACTCTACCACTTGAGTCATACCTCCATCCTTTGAGATATAGTTATTTTTATAGTTGGGTCTTCGTACACTTTTTTGGCCATGCTGTCTTTAGAGTATAATGTTCCTATCTCCACCTCCCGGGTGGGCAGGATGACAGACTTGAAGGTGAACCACTCTGACAACTTGTTCTTTAGGACAGGACCTTACTAACTTGCCTGCCACAGCTACCTCCCAAGGACTCGATACTTTCTAAAGTTCTTCTCTCAGCACATGAGTCTGGCTCTCTTTAAAAGCAGCAAATCTTGGTATTTTGTGATGACAGTTGATACCTTAGGCAAAGGTAAAAGTCGTTAAGCTTTAAGCCCAGCAATTTGTAGAGGGTTATCAGACCAGAGCCAATGTGTTTTTGCCTAAAAGTATGTTGTGACTAGAAAGTAATGAGGTGGATTTCTTTGAACCACTGATGATTGGATTTTAAATCCAGTTCCAAAATAAGATTTTAAAGGATTTAAACCAAGGCACAATCATGTCAGTGTACTCCTCTTCCAGAGACTGTTTTGGAATTCAACAACCATTTTCTTTCTTTTTTTTAATAAGTTTTTTATTGTGAGAATACTATACAGAGGGGTTACAGTTACATGAGCAAGGTCATGAGTACATTTCTTACCAAGCATTATTGTTTCCTCCGTTGTTTTTCCCCTACCATCCCTTCCCTCCCATCTCCACAACTACACTCAACAACCATTTTCTTATTTGACGTTTATTATGTATTGAAAACGAAAACTCGCTCAGCACAGTGGTTCAGAGCATAAATGGGCTCTACCTTCGAGCAACCTGGGACTGAGTGAGTTTTATCAACAAATACACACTATACCTGGTCATCTCCTTACATTCTTAACCCAGTTACAACTTGGCATGCAACAAAAGGCACCATTTTAATTTAATGCTCGGTTTGGTGCATTTTTCAGAATGCCATGAAGTAGTCATGACTACTACATCAAGAGAGGGATTGTTTCCATCAATCTTAAAAAGATCTTTATTTTCCTTTCCTGTTCTTTACCTTTTTTCCCAGAAGCAACGGCTGATCTACTTTTTGTCACTGCAGATTAGATTGAGGTTTTTGTGGGGGTTTTTTGTAGAGTCTTCTATAAGTAGAAATGTTTGACTCTGATCATTAGTATTTTTAGATACGCTTATTCTATTCAGTATGTCCTTTTCATTGCTAAGTAGTATTCTACTTATGAATGTACCTTATATTATGAATGTACCTTACATTGTATACTCCCTCACATTGGCTTTCTTGTTTCTAGTTTGGGATTCTTTTGAGTCTTTATGTAGACTCATGTATCTTAGAAATATTTGATCGAGAAAAGAATCTCTCATTTTAAGAGAAGCCCTGGAGAATAGGGAACAATCCAGATTTCTAACCAGATACAGACTATTTCCAATGAGGCAAATAGTATGTGGAGAACTTGTTCATTGAGAGCAATGAGACCCTGATCCCTAGAGTGAAGTAAGCAACGGAAAGGACATTGTAAAGAATCTAGCACAGTTGTTCATGGCCAGGATTCACTTAGACAAAGCCCTTCACATCTATGCACCTTGCATGGTTCTCATCTAACATGTTTAGCTGTTAGTTGGTTCAGTTTCTGTATAATAAAGATGGAACATGCAGAAAGAGCTATGGCCAGTAAAATGGTGTTGTGGCTTCATAATGGTACTAGCCTATCATCACTACGTTGAAGTCACATGTCTCTCATCTTTGTAGACTGTTGTCTCTAATTTGGATTCTTGTTTTTACTGTCATTCTTGTTCTTGTCATACTGTCAGTGATTTTCATTAAGTCTACATAGATCATTAACCTTCTTGTTTGAGATCTCTGTTTATATATATATATAGAGAGAGAGAGAGAGAGAGAGATCACAGTCAACAATAAATGAATTCAGCTGTGTTTTTAAAAGGCATCATTTGCTAATCCTTATGGCTTGTATTAATGTTATGTATGTAACCTGATTAGTAGCATGAATAAAGTTAATGAAATAGTAAAAGGTATGTGAGAACTTTAGAGTTATCAAAAATTTGGGAATCAGCGCTTATTTCAAATAGTGTCCTGAGTTTTCAGGCAAACATTGCAGACTATTGTTTTTCTTGGAGGTCTGAGAATGGTAGCTGGGTGTTATAGCTATAGTAAAAACCACAGTAGAAGGCAAAGGGTTGAGAGACAGGGCCCAGAGGCCATGAAGTAGGGCAGGCTGGGTGTGATAAGGAAAGCAATTTAAAGGAAGCTGAAAGCAAAGCTACTTGAATCCTAGAGTCCAGGATTCCTGTATGATTTGAAACTCATTTTAAAGGCACTATAGTGGTTTGAAAAGGGAACTTGGATAGTAATAATGACTTTCAAGCACACCAATTCTAGTTGCTAGTCTAATGTCAGAAAGAATTTCCTAAATTGATATTTCTTAAATCGATTGTATGAATCCATTAGTCCTATAGACAGGCCTATAAAATGGCATGAACATAACAAATTGACTTGTTGAAATGAGTAAAAGCCTCCTGCAGTGATGATTTTACACTATCTTAGTATGCAGTTGTGAGTTCAGGACCTTAAGGACTGTAACATTCAGAAAAATTGGTTATCTTCTCTTGGCCTTCATCTAAATGATAGGAATTATAGAGTTGGGATATATAATCATCTGGATTTGCTAGATCCTTTTCAAGGAGAGGAGAGAGAGAGAGCGAGAAAGACTTTTAGAGGTGGCTTTTTAATAGGCCTCAGGCAAAGGGTATAATGACAGGATTGCATGTTAAAGAATGTCAGGGCAAAAATTGTGCTTAGAGAAGGCTTTGCAGATTTCTTTAGACTAAAGTCTTATTGCTATTTGTTACCACAAGTTTCAGAAAGCCACTTAACTTCTGATGTCTTGGTTTTTAATATGCCGTGGTAGATTCTGGGTGTACCAATGTGATTTTGGAAAGATTTAAGAAAGTAATTGTTGCTCAGATTAAGAGCTACCAAAATACTTCCTTAAGCAAGAGTTCAAACTCACGTTCCTTAAAACTTAGCTCCAAAAAAGAAAAAAAAAAGTTAAGTAACATAATTCTAGTTTGCATCTTGAGTTGCTGAAAGACTGCGAGGCAGGCAGAGTGGCAAGAAATTTAGTTTATAAGGACTTGTATACTCCACATTTTCACATGGATGTGATGGTTTTTTTTCTCACTCGTGAACACAATCCAGAAGTGTCAATAGTCTTAGGAAGGAGCTTTGCTGTTTCAAATCCTCGGAAGGTTGCTGTGTGGATGCCTTCTACAATGAGTGTATAAGATGGCTTTGTCTGGAAATGATTTGCCTCTGTTCATGTTCTACCTTCAGAAATGGCAGAGCCAACACAGGCAGCATGTCTCCGGCTTTGATCCAGAGCAAATTGCAATACTGTGCCACTTAGAAACCTAAAACTCTCACTGAGTTCCAGCTGCCTATCACTGAAATTGTGGGAAATGTATATGAGCAGTTAACAGGGCTGACA